CTGAAAACCATTCATAGTCCTTGCCTATGAATGTTAATTTACGTTTGAAAGGAAGTTAAATATCAGTTTAATAATCTTTCCCATTATTGATCTCTACTGCAAGCTAGGCACTGTGCTGAGCACTCTATAGGCCTCATCTCACTTTACCCTCTAATTTCCCTGTGAATGGATGTTATTGTTAACCTCATCCTACAGACGAGCTATTTTAATATCCTTGAATGTACCCATGAACTTGTGAACTAGCCATATACATGCCTAAGTTGCAACTTTAAAATGTTAAGATGATGCTTTCCTTCAAGTCACAATCCCTCTGTTATAAATGATAGTTTATTCTTGCTCCCTAAAGTGGAATTGATCTTTCTTTTCCCTGATGAGACAAATATGCAGGGAAGGCGATAAGTTTTTCATTGAGCACCCTTAGAATACTTTGGATATAACCACATATTTATCTTAGGTAAACAAAATTTAAGAGCTCACCCTTTGTAAGGCTGAGCTGCTTTTCTGAATTTGTCCAGATGGTGGCGCTACTTCACCAGTGATTTCACATCTCTTAGTTTTTGATAAGTTTGGAGGAAAGGAAAATTCTGGAATCCTAGATGGGTGTATGGTTTTTAATCTATGATGTTATCAGGATGCAGGATTTTTCAACAGTAGATTTCATTAAGCAGTACAAATCAGAAGAAATAACTTACAAAAATTAAAACTCTGTTTTCAACAATATTTAGGCTGTTTTTCAGAACCGCTGTGAAACAATTGTTACCAACTAAAAATCTATCACATTTGGGGGTGAATTTTTCCTCACTGCAAATGAAATGCCATGGAGAACGAAATTTTAATGTTGCAACATCAAAAAGAATGCCAAATACCCTATAAATTAGAGCGTACATGCTAACCGTCTAAGCCTAAGTGTAAAATAAACTCAGATCTTTCAAAATTAATATGAACTCTTCTTGGCAAAGTGGAAGTTTTCTCTTCAGATTATACATCCACAAACTTCACCAAGAGATTTTTGCTTTTTTATTGTGGCCTTATCCTTTCCCCTGAAAGCCTTTGAAGTGGTTATTTTAATATTTGTTATGTTAGTGAAAGGAACTGATTTCAGTCCCTGTACAAGTTTCCAGGCCAAATGATTAAATATTTGATGTTTCTGTATCACTCCCTTCTGAGGACCAGGGCCCTGCTTTGTTTTATTAGCAACACTAAAACCAGCACACCCGCCACCCTGGAGAAGCGGGGACTGCATCATTTATCGTCTTGGAAGTAGCATTAAAGCATTATTCCCATCCCCAAATAGGGTTCTCTAAACATTCTCTCTGATTACACAAAAATTTTAGTTTGTCTTGCTAAGCCATAGACTTTAAAATGTAATTTTCAAACAGTTGGGCTCAGGAGCTTGTGTCCAGGTAAAAAACTTCAGCCTGGTGTGTCCAGAAGCAAAGTTGCCTCCTAATAAATACAGAGTGTGTGACTGCAGGCTTGGGAGGTCTGTTCGTATTTGTGGGAGTTAACAGTCTAAATTCCAAGGGAATTCAGACAACAGACACTTAAAATAACACCAGTAAAGTCACATTAACCGCAGTACCACTCAACACAGCCCGTTTAATGTGGTGTGATTTTTATTAGGCAATGTGTTGTACATTAAACCAGAAAACAAAAACAACTAAATAGGCAAAACTTGGTATAATCCCTTTCTAAATGCTTAATGAGAAACAAAGCCCAGAAAACCAGTCATCTGAATCTGGTAACAAAGAGATTTTGTGTAGTCCTTTCCCCAGCAAGCTCTGTGGTCAGATGGTTGTTACCAGCTTTGACGTTTCCAGAACTCACTCCAGTGGCTCTTGGCTGTCACTCCGTCACCATCACGATGGCCACTCATGCCAGCAGGAAGCTGGCTCACTTTGCCTGGGTTCCCCAGTGTCACCCTGCAAGGGAAGTGGTTTGTTTCTTGGCAGAGTTTATCTTTATTTACCCATGTCTCAGGTCGGCAGAACAAAACCCACTGCATTATAATGTCACAGGGCCATCAGCTTCTCTTGTCGCACCAGCCTGGGTTTCTACAGTGGATCCTGTTCCAATCAGAAGTCCTCCCCAGCCAGGGCCAGTTCCATAGCTGCCAGGCTTTCAGGAGAAATGGGGGTGGACACCATGGGCTATCTTATAGTGAGTTGTTGCCTGTATCAGGAATAAAAAAATGCCTGTCCTACTTTCTCATCCATTAGGCTGAGAAGTCCAAAGTCAGTCTATGAAGAATGTGTACAAAGTATCCCTCTTTGTCACCTTCTGACACCCTTCATTGGAAGTGATCAGGTATCCCCAAAATGTATTTATCAAATGAATATGTGATATTTCCACTGTTAATATTTATTTCAGTGTCCTTTCTGGAATAAGCTGATCAGCCCACTTCTCATAAGCTGAGAGATTTGAGCAGAAAATATATATGGTTAATTTTACCTCATTCATTAAATGAGATCTCTGTGGGAAGGAGGATCTAATAAATAAATACATTTGTAGATACTATGATAGGAATAAAATATAGCATCTTATATTCTAGATTTTCTTCTCCTTTGTAAAAAGGACTTTATTTACTTTTCTGTCTCATTGATGGATATTAGCCATAAGTGGAAAAAAGAAATTTTTAATGACTCCATTGTGAATGGTAAGTGTGGTGGTGCATTTATCTTCACTGTTTTGGATGAAATTCGTGATTAGTAAGGTTAGTAATCATAGTAATTATAACAACCTAGTGTAACTGCTTGATGGGTCTTATTTAAAATGCAGCCATGAATTAACTATTTGTTATCAAAAGTGTTCATAATTCCAAGCATCAAGTTAGTGAAATCTCAATCTCTCTCCTCCCTTTCTCACTCTTTCTTAAAAGATTTGATGTCAACTTTTTTTAAACTGCTGCAGTATTTTTCTTAGTTTTATTGTCTGACCACCCCTAGTTATTTACTAAAAGCTATCTTTGATATTTCTTCATCCCTTCCCATTTTCTTCAAGATGTAGCACATGTTACCCCTGAGAAATTTGAATCATTTTTGTTTATCATGGCTTAGGTTACCTCTCTTTTTCTTGGAGTAGTTGTAGCTGATAATAAGAAAAAAAATGAGACTGCGCAAGAGAATATACCACTTTAAAAGATATTTTCACCACCCTAATTCCCTTTCGAAATAATGTTTCTGTTAGTGATTAAATAAGGAGTTTAAGAGTGTCATAGTGTCTATAAATAAACTTGAGAACATGCATTTATAAAGAGCCATATTTTTACAATCTCATCTCCACTAAACAAAACAATATTTTCTGGCACCTGTACACTCAGTGTTTCATGTAGTTCTTATTATGGAATTTCCTTTCTCCTTTTGAGATTGAAGATAATTACTGAATGTGATAGAAACTTTATAGCCATTAAAAATAGAACAGAAAAATGTTACCAGACAGCAAGTTGTTCAAAATAAATATGAAACAGGACTTGGGTCTTATCTTACTGCTTGACTTTGCCTTATTGTAAAACGACATAGATTTCTTTTCTCTTGATTCTTTAAAATAATTTCTTAAGAGCTTAGGAAAATGTGACCACATCATTGCTTAGATTTTTTTTATTTGGTAGAGTCTAGCATTATGTAATTGCACTTTGTTATGTTTAAAATAGCTGAATACTAAAATTTTCAAATGGCTTAACCTAAAATTGGCCTTTTTCAATCAATTTTGGCAGTGCTATATTTAGATTTGGGATGGGTTTAAGTAGAAGGTATGGGACCCAAAAATATAGTGATAAAAGCAATAATCCATCTGCCCCTTTAAATTTTTCTAGTCATCAAGAATCTCCTGACTTCTTCATTATTGGGTGAGAACCATCACATTGGAAATCAATGCATGGGCTTTTTGTGGGTGTTTTTCCCACCTAAATCTGCTGCAGCTTTCAAAACTCCTTTCTATTTTCTTTGGTTACCAAAACTGCCCAGAACTTTAAAGGAAAAAAAAAAAAAAGAGAGAGAGAGAGAGAGAGAGAGAGTGATAGCATATGGCAAATCTGCAGAGATCTTTTGTAATTTAAATCTAAATTAGGTCACTTTGATCTCTTCCATATTCATCCTTTTGTAACTCAAATATATAAGATCTGTCTTTTCAGATTATTTTACTGTGTTCTTTGATTTAATTTTGCCATCCTAAATATAACATGATATTCACAGACCCCTTTGTGAGATTAGAGTTCTGAAATTAATTTCCGAGTTGCTAGATGAAAATAGGGCCCTGCCCTGCTCCTGGTCAGGTTTAAAATGTAAATTGTGCTTCCCTTCCCCAGGGTCGATGAACTTCAATTTCTGGAGTTTCAAATTCATTGAAATGATAGACCAAGCAGTCCTTCACCAAACATAGCAAGACTGCTGTTAGCTAGCAGTTTTTGAGTATTATGTCTAAGCCAAAAGTTTGTTGTTTTACATGCTATATGTTGTTTAATCAAAAACTTTGAGCTAGACACTAAAGCATTTCCATCTTCCTGACAAGCTGAGACTCTAATGCCTATATGAGATGTTCAGTAAGACACAGCTAATAATGAAGCAGAATTTGAACTTAGAACAACATTTGGCATTAATGTTACCCATAACCTAAGTGATTCAGGTGCATTTATCTTGTTTAGTCTTCGGCAATCCCTCAAGGTATTATTTCATTCCCATAAACTTGATTCACTGACAAGAAAACAAAAAGATGCTGCGTTTCGACTCTGTGGTCCAGGGGCATTATTTTCCAATATGCATTCAGCAATAAAAAGAATTTCATCAAATAAATTTGGGAATGATGATTGTCTCAACCCCTCATGCTAGCCCCTGATTTGAGTCTTCACCATGCTTGGTAGTTGCTCTAAGATGTCCTACAGTACCGCTTCTGCTTAATTTTGCTTAAACCAGTATTTCTCAACTTTATCAAAGATTCTTTTATATGCTTTTAATATTCTGCAGAAAACACTTTGAAAAATACTTATGATGCTAGAACATTCCAAGATGGCAGGTAAATGGCTGGGACCCCAAAATGTGATTCCGCTCCCAGAATGTTGACAACCAAGACTAACTGGTCAAATTTACATGATCTGCTGAAGGTAAGTGTAAATGACAATAGTGACCCTTCCAAATAGGGAGTGTTTGCCATTGGATGTGCCTTCTGACTTAAAACTGGGTTCAGGGGTCAGAAAGCATCTGCTGTTGGGCAAGGGGCATATCCAACAAGCAGGGAGGCAGGGGCTGTGCTTACCTCTGGGCTCGGCAGGAATGCTCAGGGACAAGCAATCTCATTGAACTCATGCTGCCTGTTTCCAAGCCTTTTCTGGAAACATGACCCTTGTCATGAAACAGGGGATACAGGATCACAGAGCCTTCTGAGGCAACTTTGTGGCCTCCAAATTCGGGCCTTTCATTCCAAATCGGGTTGTCAAGGATCAGCAGCTCAGCTTGGGAACAGTTTGTGAGTCAGTACTAATCAGAACGTGTTCTGGAGAACTTGATTCTGCCTGCTGATAAAGCTCACAGATCCCCCTCGGATGCCGGAGGTGCTGCCCACGAGGTTGTGAAATGGAAAATGGCTCTGGGAATTTTGCCGAATAAGGCTAGAAGAAGCAGATCCTTGGGGGAGGGGGGGTAAAGAGAGGTGATGGGTGGCATGGTAGGGGGTGTTCTTTGAATAATTACAGTGGCTTTCAAGAAAATGTTAGCATTTATCTTACTGCGACATTTGCCTCATTGAAGCTGAGCTGTTTTTCTCTCTTTTCAATGAGATATTGAGGGAGCGCTGAACTCTGTGATAAATGTTAACTTTTTAATGAAAACCCTTGCACACTGTGTCCCAGAGGCAGGGCATGTGTGGGCTATTGAGAGAAGCAGGCTCAACGAGCTGCTGCTCAAAATTCCAGGAGGTTAATAGGCAAATCAGCCTAGAAATGGAGGAACCAGCTGTAGTTCTTCTTCTTTCCTGGCTTTTCTTAAAAATCAAGGCATCTGGGCACCATCCTTATTCACAAATATCTCATTTTTCAACTTCTTGGGGGGGGGGTAGCTAAAGGAGCCATTTGCTTTTTATTATTATTAATGGCTGCCTCTCTCTTGACAGGTTCCAGATAGTCTTGCCAGTTCAGGTCACAGAGGTGGGCTGGGAGGTGGGGATCTCAGGTGGAGCCCTTGTCTGATATTGCTGCTGCGGCTAAGCAGGAAGGTCATGTCACCCTTTCATCCTTGCCTTCTAATGCCAGTTGTGTATAGGTATGGAATATGTCAGAGAGAAAGTTCTAGAGACTTAAGATCTGAAAAGTACCCCGATGAGGCCAAACTCATGCATTCTCAACTGTAATACTACATCAGATTTACCTAGGATTTAAAAAAAAAAAATGTGGATGCTGGATCTGTCTCCAGAGATTCTGATGCAGTTGGATTGGGGTGCAGCAGGAGCATTGGGATTTTAAAGAGCCACCTTGGAGATCTGCAGCAGTGTTTGAGTTAGCCCGATTGTTCTCAAGGTGGGGTGGTGATAGATGTCTCCTGTCCTGAATACCCATCCACTGCTTCCCACCATCCTGTACCAGTTTCTACTCCAAAAATAAAAGCATGAAGGTACAGTTGTCATTGCAACCAAATAGGTTAAACACATTTTACTGGGAGAATTCCTTAGATCTTTGAATATAACAGTCAATGCATATTTTTTAATACCAAAGGGGATAGGGAAGAAAATACTTGCCACATCTATTGGAGCCTAATATCATGGAAAAATTTAGAGGGCCTAGAGACCTAGACATCTACGGATCCCCTCCTTGAGTAATGCTGCTTCTGATCCAAGAGATGAGTCTCCTAAGCAGGCTCATGTGCCTAGTGTGTACCTCGGCATATTTGGCACCCACAGGGGTTACTTTTAAAACTACTCTTCTCTAAGTAACATAATTATTTTCAGTAACAGCCATGTAAAAATCATGTTTAGTTGGTTTTTTTAGTTCGAAAGCCAACCCTTGAACATTTAAACAAAAGAATAAATTTCAGTCTAAAAATATTCAAATTTAATTATTTCGTGATTGAACTAAAATCTGCACTTGCCAAACAAAAATTTTACACCTCTTAATTCATAGTTTCATTCTCATAAATTCTAAGGAAAAACTCCAAGTAGTCAAAAAGAATGACAAATTTGAATGAACTCAAGTTCTGTGTTTCATCTTTATAATCCCTTACCATCACTGTTTGTTTCAAATCTATCATTTAGGAGTGTAGCACAAGGGGGCTGCGGACACAGAGCTCAAAGTGAGATGGGATGGTTCTAAACAACTGTAAATTTCTTCTAGAGAAGGAATGTATGTTGAGTTCATGTGGGTCACAGCCCTCCTGTATAACTGGGAATTTAAAATTAACTTCCATGCAGAATATAATATATACACACATGCTTTAGATAATATCTGCATATATATATACACACAGAAACTTACACGCACAAATACATATTAAGTTAGGGTAAGTTTTAAGCAATTGATTTTTATCTGAGGAGCAGCATCTTGCCACTGTCTTTGCTTAGCATTAATAGCACATGGTAATCACATTGGCTTTAATAAATTTTATTGTTTGACATTATCTACAGTGCACCCCTTTGCTGCTTACCCTCAGAGAAGATTACTTCATCTTGGTATGTCACTTGCATGTATCCAAAGGCACAAAATCTAATGGTGGAAGTTGGAGCTAACACTTAGGTTTTTAGATTCCCACATCCGTACCATTCTGAGTACCACATGCTGTGAATAATACATTAGTTTCTGAAAAGCCATCAAAACGTTAGGTGAAACTTCTGGATCCCTCTGTAATAAACACTCAAGGTAACTCAGTCTGAAATGGAAGAGTCAATATCTCTACTAGACCATTTGGTCCTCTGCATATTGAGTTTCAGATCATTGCAACCCAGAGGTCTAGGTGACATGTGTCCCTTCAGAAAACAGAGATTACTTTAATAAGGAGAAAATTGTTATTTCATTTTATTAACAAGCTTGTATCATACTGAAAAATTCATTGTCTGTGTTCAGCTTGAATATTGTATTCATTATGTTTCCTAATCTGTGTGATTACTACCTGTGTAATTTGATGTCTGCATCTGCTATCAGTATTCTTTCAGCCCATTATATTTCCCATCTTTTTTCGTAACGGAGGATAAGATTGGGATGTGGAAAATTGCGGCAGATTGCCCAAGGCAAACTGCAACCAGCCAGCAGCTGGATGGAGCAGCAGAGATACGAAATAAGTTGCCTGGGGAATCTGAGAGGGCCGGACTCCAGGCCTGTGGTCTGCTGTGATGACCCTGGGAAGGAAAAGGAGTTGGCCAGTTTTCCAACGTGGGAATTAGGTATCCCCAAATTACCCCTAGGAACTCAGGTTGGCATTATCCATTCAGGGAAGTTATTAGGTAGAACATGTGAGGTAGAATTGGACACTGTATTGCTTAGTAAACTGTTATTTAGGGACCCAGGGGTGAGAAGTGGATACTGGAACAAACCAACAGATTTGTAGCAAATAATTTTAAGGTAAATATTAAGTTCACAATCCAAATCACAGAACAACAAAAAGGGTCAAGCTAACCCATATCCTTTTCTTTTGTCCCCCATGCTAATTATAAGCAGCCATTTCATTTAGCAGGTAATGAGGCGGGTGGTCTACCCAGTGAAAAGAAAAAGCATTGACGTCAGATATGTCTAGGTGTGAATCCTAAGTCTTATTCTTACTTCAAGCTAACTAGAACTCATTATTACTTTTAAATAAGGGGAAAATATCTACCTCACAGAGCTGTTATTAATTAAACTATATTGAATCATATGTGATTATGCATGCAGCATGGATCCTAATAGTTCGCAATAACCGTTTGCATTCTCAAGGCAACTGAGGCAACTTCTTGACATTTAATTGGCTCATCCACATTAGATAGAAAATTCCAAAAATCAATCCTTTCTGTCAACCCTTAAGACTGTGAATATTGTTTTGGAGGCTAGAGTGGTGGTCTAGTTAGGAGTGAAAGCTCTGGAATCACCCAGACCTGAATTCAGAACTTGCCTTGCCTTGTCCTGTCTCTGTAACTTTGGAAAGTTTTTTCTCATTATAGTTTGAGACTTTACTTTCTGCACTGTGGAGCAAATGTTGGTATCTGCCTTATAGACTTGTTAGGCAATTAGCCATGCATTAACTAATTTAACTCTATATCCTTTCCTTTTTTTTCCCCTTAAGTAATTAGTTTATTCTTTAGGACTGGACAAATAGACTTCCATTCTCTGTTCAATTTGGTTATTGAAATCACTGTTAATTCCTGGCATTAATGACGTCAGTAAATGCCCAGGTCTTTTTTCTTTTTTTGGACTGGAGGTTAAACCTCAAGGGGAGATTTACCACTGAGTTATATCCCCAGGACTTTTTAATTATTTATTTTTTTATCTTGAGACAGTTCTCCTAAGTTGCTTAAGTTCTCACTAAATTGCTGAGGCTGGCCTCAAACTTGCTATCCTCCTACCTCATCCGCCAGAGACACTGGGATTACAGGCAAGGGCCACAGTGCTTGACCTATGTCTCCTTTTTATCTTTTCCCAATTTCTTTCTGCTTACCCTACCCTTTCCTCCTTTACTGACCTATTTGTTTTCTTTCCCTGCACAACCAGGATTTGTAACAAATATTGAGGAAAACAAAGACGTTACTTTTCCTCCATATCAAAATCACAATCTCCTACTTACCAACTGCTGTGACAAATGGGAATCCCTTTGAAACCAAGCCTGGTAACACAGTGAGGACCAGTTGTAGGCCTGTCCCTGCTTAGGTCTATCAGGCACCAGTGTAGTCTGCACAGAGGAGCCAAGTGGAAGGGAAGCGCTTGCTCCTCCCCCTTAGCAGGGCCACCAGTCCTCTGCAAAAGTCTGTACTCTGGTATTCTGCTTCCTTCTGTCCCTAGGAAGTTTGGAGGGGACTTTCTGCGAGGAGCAGAATTCCTTTCAGGGACTCTGTAAAGGGTGAGCCTTGTGACCTTTTTATTTACTGGCAGCCTCCACCACCACACTGATACCAGTCTGAGGAAGAGGCTGCAATGAGAGCATAGGAGAAGACAGA